AGGTTAATAGATTGATAGTATGCTCTATTCAAAATCTGTCTCCGTAAGCTTTGTTATCTGATTTCGGAATGACATTATTCTGTCATTATTTTAACCTCCAAATTCATTCCTTTTTGGAGTAAATTTTTCACTCCAATTATCGAATGAATTTTCCATTCCCATCTTGCAATAAAATTCACTGGCAAACACATTGGCGCAATTGCCACTAATGCCTGTATTGAAATTTCAATTAAATGCAGTGAAATTTCATTGCTACAGATTTAGAGTGTAACGTTACAGTAGCTAGTTTTTTTTTTACCAGTGAGTATAACGGAAGGACGGTTTTTGCTGAAGTATCTAAAAATTTAATTAGACACACAGATTTGAAAATCATTTTCTTGCACCATCAAAATAATTATATAGGACGGTCGAACTAGTTACCAGAATATCAAAATTTTACGCTCATTTTGTCTGAAATTCCTACTATTTCAATGATCCACAAAATTATTTTCAGATTCTGTATCTAACTAAACTTTTAGCGATTTCAACAAAAGCGTTCTTTCCGTGTATAGACATACGTAAACGTCAATTTCAAGTCTACAATATGTTAAGAATCTGGCATGGAAGACCAATTAAGCTTACGTTATTTCTAATAATTAGTATTTTTTTTCATAAAACGTTGATATTTTCGATTGTAATATTTTTATCAATTGCACAACATTCTTTTGCAAACCGTAAGACTTCGACAATGCACAATGCTGTCAAAGGTCTGTCTTTACGGTACATACGTTACGAGTTTTAGTATGTATATACATATTACATCCCCGCCTGCACACACTTTATTTGAAAGCGACGCGCAACCGAACGCGATAATGAAGAATGACGTCCCAACGGCTGTTGTCGTACCAAACTAACGAGTCTTCGATATAACGCATAAACCGGTGGTAATCTGTTGGCTGCACGATATCGCGTGTTACAGGAATATAATACAAAAGCGAAGAATTAAACGAACAATAAACAAAGAAGACGCTCAAATAAATCTCTATTAATATATGTATAAATTGTAGTTAAATATTCAGTCAAATTTACATTAATTTCATTAATAATTTATTATTCGCATAATATCGCACCGACCGCTGATCGGAGGACAGATATATGTACATATGTGTGCATGCACATACATGTGTACGTATGTACATTCGTACGCGAAGTAATGCACGAACATACACAAGCACGTCTCACACACACACGCACGCACGCGCACACATATATAAATATATGTGTATATATACATATATATATATATATTTATATATATTTATATATAGATATATATTCGTAATTATATTTGGCCATTTTTTTTTTACAGTATAGTCTCACAAATTCGTTTCTTCAAATAACTCTACTAATTTAAATATTATCAATATCAGTCCTTCCTTGTCCTGACCACTATAAAATTGTGTTCGTTATTCTCGTAATTTAAAGCTTCGTTCTTCTTCCTCGTCCTCTCCGTTCCCTCGATTTAACATTCTTTTTACTTTTTGTTTTACCTCTCAGCGCAATCCTCTCCCCTTATTTAAATTACCTGCGCTAATGCATTCCACGTCGCACGTAATTTCGCATGCCCGTCGAAATGTTACCGGCTGTAAGACAGTTCCTTGACGCTTCTAAAGTTCTCGCGATATATGTACACGATTTACTGCCCTCCATCCCTCCTCCGAGTATAAAAAAAATCTAATCTTCTTTCTCGAATCCGTTGCGGATCCATCCATCCATCCATCCATCCATCCATCCATCCATCCATCCATCCATCCATCCATCCATCCATCCATCCATCCATCCATCCATCCATCCATCCATCCATCCATCCATCCATCCATCCATCCATCCATCCATCCATCCGTCGTTAGTACGAACGACTTACATACAATTAATCCAAGAAACGTATGATTGATCGTATGATTTTCGTTTCCTCTCCCCTTTTTATCCGACTCGCGGAAAAGTTTAATCGACAAGTCAATACCACCTGTGCACGTACATATTTACTATGTAACAATTGACTAATCGATTCCAAAATACGTTCGCTCTGAATGCGTTTTGAAAGATACATATTTATTAATCCGGATTATAATGCGAGAGGCGGAAAATACGTGCGACGCAACGAGATGTATTCCATAAAACATAGTTTAACATAAATTATCATAGCCTATCTATATAAATGCATTCAACGTGCACGTACACCTGCGTCAGAGATTGCCTATACGAGCCGAAGTGTGAACACACCGATATGCTGGTTCGTGAACATCGCACGCGCGAACATCAGTTCGTCACCCGAGTCGAATTCGCGCGTATATTGAAATTTGTGTACTTTCAGAAAAAAAAATATATATATATATATTTATGTATATGTACGGACGAGTATCCGTTTTCACGCATCGCACGTTGCTTTCCGGTCGATCCATTGTCGAGTTACAAATTCGTTGTGCGATCGGCCAGAGAACCCGAAAGGTCTGCGAGTAACACAAATCGGCGGAGGACGCGACACGCCATTACGGAAAACTATGGCTGCGTTCAGTAGAGAAAGCAACTTTACACAACTGTACGATTCTTTAATGTGACTGATTTCTACATTTAGATCTACCGAGGAGCAAGATCTACTAAGGGCAAGATCAATCATATTAAAGAATTTTGCAAAGCTGCTTTCTTCGCTAAACGCAACCTATGATTTCTCCTTCCACTGAGCCTTATTAGAAGAAACAAAACAAAGTACGAAATTATTTATACTTTACGGCGACTAAAGGTATTCGCTCTGGTGTTTTATGTAGTCAGGAAACGCGATAAGGCCTATCTTCGCCTTGATCACGCGAATTGAACCTTGCGACTCGAGTCTTATTGCGATGCTGTAGTTTGCCACTTACAAGCGCATCTCGATTCGTACTGTCACACAGACCCTTCGGTCCTATCGTGATCGCGATGATTCAGCCTTAATGCAGCCTCGCTCTTCTAATCACTTCCTTTAGTCGCGATTTAAATTTATTACACCTTCGCTGATACTGGATCAGGGAGAAAGTCTTTTTACATATAGCCGACAGATGGAGATCTGGTCGAGATCGATTTTTTACGTGCCGCTATTGTGTGACGTATTAGGTTACCTATCGTTGGAAAGGTGCTATTTCATATAATATTTTGAAATAGATTGATCATAGATTTAACGACCATACTGACGCATTCGATCAATTAATGAAATAAACTTGCCTTCGAAAGAGACCTGCGAAGAACGATGGAAATCATTTATGTTTTCTGTTTTTTTTACTGAGAAATCACAAAAGTTCTACATCAGATGGAATAATGATTCTATCCGAAAAATGGCAAAAGGTTGTCGATTAAAACGGCACATATTTGGTTTAATAAAAGATTTGTAAACAATCTAAAAAATATACGTTTCAATTATAACGCTCGAATTTGTAAAAAGATTTTTTCTTCCTTAATTCAATATCTCATGCATCCGATACACTTTGCAGTTACACTTCCGCCAAACTGATTCAAACCAATCGATTTTCAGCCCTACCCGACCTCGACTTGTATTCCGAATGCGTATTAGGAAACCCATTTTATTGATGAAAATAACACGGGCGTTAATCACACCTCGCTGTTGTAAGTCAACCTCGCTTTAACTGTACACCGGTTCAAGTAAGTCTTGTCTTAAATGCAACTCGACCCATTTCAATGACCGTCGCGAAACATTCCGTATTCCGATGTAGTATCAACCTCGTCGCACACAATTTCGCCAAAGTGACTCCATATATACTGTAATCGGGTATCAATATATAATCGTGATCGCCGATCGTGTATCATCCTAGTCCCGCACGTAGGCATTATGGTGGACTCACATTCGCTCGCAATTGTGCTCTCGACATCTCCCATCGTGTCCCAACTTGCGTTCGCGCTCCACAGCGCGACTCTGTCCTCAAGAAAAATAGAAAATTATCTCTCGTTATCTAACCACACGACGATCGTACTTTAGGCCGATGCGCGTGCATTCGTCATCTCTGGCCTACTTGACGATGGATATCGCGATAGAGCCTCGCGTGAAAACGGTGATGTCCCCAGTCATCATATGGGTTTTTTTTCTTTATCAAGCGTGAATCGTTGAGGTTCTACTAAAATATAGCGTTCACGGTTTTATGGTGGTGACAAGTAATGTATATGTATACGGCTGCCTATTTGTGAGTCACTTAGAATGTGAGTGATGATCTATCAGTTCCGGACGTAACACAAGCGTCCAAAAAATGTCCAGAATTTCGCAAACTTTCGCGACACGTATCGACACATTCTCTGGACCTTTGTATTATTTTAGCACGCGTATCCTTCGTCGCCTTCCCGTCCATTTGCTCTCGAACTGACGGAGTTACATTACCGTTAAAAAGCCAGGAGAGAAAAAACGCTATTCGAAACTATTCGAGAGACTCAGTCGATGAAGGATGCTTCGAAGCGTAGAACGCGAAATGGACGAGAAGGAATGTTATAGAATGAGATATTCTGGCCGGATACTACGAAAATGGAGTAATCTGTGTTCATGGAATATATTATAAAGCGGAGCTTCCATCGAGTATGCCGCGCGAAACGGAAACAGCTGTAACACAACGGTACAATAAGAGCAGAAATAATAGTCGTAATACCAATAATAATATTAATAACAATATTAACAGCAATACTAATAACCGATATAGTAATGATAATAATTGCGATATACGATATGAGTAATAATAATAATAATAATAATAATAATAATTAATAATTATAACAAAGTAAGGTACTTTACGTAAAATTCGTTAGGTATCGTAAAAACGAATGTAAGTCTATATAGAATAGCTCGCTAAAGCATTTAATTAATTCCAACACCTAATATATATATATATATATATATTAAACCATTGCATCTCACTTTTCCCGATTCAAGCGACGACGAAAAATGACGATATAAGAATATTTCTCGCAGACCTAGGCTAACTCGAATACACTCTCTCTTTCTCTCTCTCTCTCTCTCTCTCTCTCTCTTTCTCTCTTCATATTTTCGAAAACCATTTCTCTTCAAACCATCGGAACCATGTAAATCGGGCAATATTTAATATCGAAACGATTAAACTCTCAAATGCTGTGCCTATCCCGAGGCTCGCTTGCAGTCTTATCGAAATTTATTTTTGGACGCTTCTACCTATATTTAGTTGGACGATCGTGTCTTCGACACAAAAAGCCTTTCTCGAATAATATATCCCATTCTCGCGTTTTATATCGATCTAACTAATAAAGCTTAAATTAATTCGCGTTTCATAGCCAATAAGCGCTCTTGACACGGTTTCGAACAACGGTGTTCACCTTGTTCCGTATCGCGAAACTATGCCGAAGCTTTAGCCAAAATGCGTCTACAATTAAATCCCACACTAACGATTTTCCGAGACCGAAGCAGCAATATATAATCACGGCGAGTTTCAAATCTCTGTGTCACAGAATGAGTTTCGTGTTTCATTCGCGAAAGAAATCACGGTAAACGACGCGAGTCACGATAATCGCTGTATCTGTAGCGCCGGAAATTGCACTCAACGAGATTATATACACCAATGTCAATCTCCTGAACGACATTAAAATTGGCATTCGCATGTATCCAGTCTGTTGTATCCGATCTGTCGTGTGATCATTTATATTCTTACAGTATTAACAGAAATTTAACGAAAATAACAAGAGAACATACGAAAAGCACGTACACTAGAAAAATAAGTACAAGTAATTATAAAATTAAGATTATTTTTCTCTATTTTAATCCATTGGCACTGGGTCCCGTAAACCATAACGCCAGTATGTGCGCGTACGTGTGTGTGTGTGGGTGTGTGTGTGCGTGTGTGTGTGTCGTATATATGTGCGCGGCTACGTGTATGCGTGTGCGAATCTTACGTGCGAAATCTAAGTAATCGCTTCCGTGAATTACGTGCGATAGTTGCGAATAAATGATTTGCTAACAACATACGCCTCGAGGATTACGCATCGATTAGAATCAACTCGGGAAATCAACCCTAATTTGAATTACCTTGATTGCACTCCCGTTCAGTCTCATTTCTTTTTCATCACAACTTTGTCAATTAATTAGATCCTAAAAACTTCCTTGAAAATTCGGGAGCGCGACATCAACGTTAATATCACCGTCATAATATTCCAATTATGAAATAAAAATGGGAATATATACATGTATATATATAAAATAATGGCGCGATCAGAGTACTCTACCGATTCCAAGATCGCGCGATGACAACGATATTTATCACGTACACTCGCATCTGGAAGCACTGATTTCTCGCGCGCGAACCGACGTTCCCTACTTTTTTTTTATTTTTTATTTTTTATTTTTTTTTTTTTTTACAAAAATTGTTGCCGAGCGGCTGAGACACACGTGGAAGATTTTTAAGGACACACGCACAAACATCGTGAACACAATGGCGACATTCGACGCAAATTCCTATTGTCTCTCGAAGAATGACCGAGTTGTTTCCGATAATCGCATCTTCCTCGAATGATCGAGTGGCTAAAAGAATCCATAGATCCCACACATTCCATGGTCCCAAATGTCAAACCCATTATGACCGATGTACAATCGACAGGTGATAATAACATAACAATTGCGTTTGAAATCTCGTAAAAAACGTCGGCAATCCGTTACCGGTCAAAGGTCCGTATCAATTTTCACCGTATATTTATCGCTGAAAGTGTCCGTCTGATTCTCATCTCGCACCGACTTTACACGTGGCTTTCGTATTAATTCCTTAAAGCTTGGGTTGGCAAATTGCTATGAATTATTTTGGATGATTGTATACCGCAGTTTTTCTGCTTCCGACATCCTAATAAATTGTAAGCGAAAAAAAAAAATATAGCTAAATACGATCGATTTGAAACCATGGATGACAACGTAAATACTCTCAAAAGATCACGCACATTTCGATAACATAAACTAAAAAAATAAAATCAGACGGTTATATGCAGCGTTAAATACGCGCGATAATGATTGTGGATCGATGAATCGAGCAACAGGCTGAAATCACTAGTCCTTTTCAACATTCGATGTCGTTTTTTCTTTTTGTTTCCTTTCATTTTTTGGCTAGAAACAGCAAGAATTCAAGAAGAGAACGACGCGATTCTCTCAGGATGGCCACGCTGTCGATAAGCTGTCGATAACCTGGTCGATCGCACGACCATCAATGAACAACGTGGAACGTTTTTTTTTTTTTTTATTTTAGCGTCTATTAAGCTCGTTTCGTGATGTCTCTTGGCACGTAAGATACGCGCGTGCGCAATCACTTCTATTTCTGCCTACGATGGTAGATGCTCTTGTGGTTGTTCAGGCTGTTGAGCGTTCTGAACACCTTGTGGCATAACGCGCAGACCGCGCTGTTCAGGGGTTGAAAGTGCTGCTGCTCTTTATGCCGCTTTAGAGTGAGCTTCGTGGAAAGAGTCTTGCCGCATACGTCGCACGTATAGCAAATTCCTGGTGGCAGCAGGCTACCGTGTAACGGATGCGACAGTCGCATCGCGAGAATCGCCGAGGGTGGACCTGAGATCCGTGTGATCGCACGGACACATATTGATTTTTTTTTTTTTTAAGATTTAGATTGTGAGATATTTTTTGGATGAAAATGTCATTGAAGACGTAAAAATGCAAACATGAGAGAGAGAGAGAGAGAGAGAGAGAGAGAGAGAAAGCGGCGATACGGTTGAGCGTTTTGATAAAGCGATAGGCAAGCAAAACGAAACAGGGAAAAGTTACGTGTGTTGATAAATATAGCAGATAGAAAAAAGTGTAGGCGATACACAAGTCGATAAATTATATGATAAACAATAGATTTAAAATGTGCGTGAAGAAACGATAAATAAAGACAGATGAATACAAATAGATAGTAAATAGATGTAAAATAGAGACAGAGACATAAATGCATGATATGAAAACGAGCATGAGAGAGAGAGAGAGAGAGAGAGAGAGAGAGAAAGAGAGAAAAGATAAAATATGCAAAAAGATTTTAAAAAGAAAAACAGAATGAGAGAAAAAAAAGAAAGAGAGAAAATGAAATCAAGTACCATAGTCCGTTACATATGCATCGACACCCAATTAAAAAGAAATATTTCCATTACGAACCAATATTTGTGGTGTAGGAGGCACACGGAGAGCCACGTGTGTGGATGGACCCCCAGCGCAAGTCCGTGTTCGTGAAGGTAGCGGGTAGGTACACACAGAACAATGACGAACCAGAGCCAAACGTATAGCCGAGCGAGCGGGACCGGGAACAAACAAGAACAAAGATACGACTGCTATTAATATCACTGGACAAGATTAGTTACGATACGCTGCTAAGTATTTTTGTATGATTAGGGCTAGAGACAGGGTGATATGCCAAGGTGTTAAGGGGAGGGGGGGGGGGGGGGGGGCCAAGGTGCCAAACGTAAGGTTCTCGTTGACAGTCAAATTATTAAGGCAAGTCGGTTGATTGAGGGAAAAGAAGGGTTTAAGATGAGTTTAAGGAAGAACGGTTGAGGATTAAAATCGGGATCGATCGAGAACAGATTGGCAGTGGTATCAAAGGAAATTTCTACTGGATATCCGTTGATACTCTTACTGACAGCCTGTTGAAAATGTCCCTGCGAGCCACGTACGTTGCTCGAGTAACTTCGTTTCTGCTGCATCTTAATCGCAGAGAGATATATAAATGTGGCTCGGAGCTCTGGTTTGTCATTGGTCATGCATAATAAGCGCGATGATCGTAGACCGCCGGAGGAACGACAGTGCGATTTTCGCGGATTCTCGTACCGTAAAGAAAAAAAGAGAGAGAGAAAGAGAGAAAGAAAGAGATGAAAGATCTTCGTTGCATTTTAATTATTACGTGAGTTACTTTGCAATCGCCTGTTTTATTTCTTCACTTATATGGCTGCGTTTAAGTATTTCTATAATAATTATACGAAACACAATATCAAGTGCTATGAAGATTTCGTTTCTTCGTGATAAATTCGACAGATCCGAAAGTGAAAGCCTAAGACGGTCGTTACTGTAACCGTTTTGCCGTCATCGCGAAATGAAATGAAGGTATAATTATAAACGACTCGAGTTTCACTGTCAATGTAATTCAATATTTGGCTTTGTATCCGATAAATTGTGATTCGATATATTGCTCTTAGAACTAATCAAGAGAAAATCCAGACGTGATTAATGAGAAGAAAAATTATACTTCAATGCGTACTTATCGTAATTTAAACATTTATGATGAAATACCGGATGAAACGGAAACGATATGAGAAAAAGATATTCCAAGCGAGCTTAACAAGCAACGAAATGTCCGCACATACCTTTCTCCGAGCTGTAAAAGTAAACGTGCCACTTTCCTCCGGCATATTAACTGACTTTCGATGGAAAAGGAGTAGTATCTGTGGTGTCAACAGAGGCGATGATGGTAACGGTAACTAATAGATATATGTGTATATATATAAATATATATATAAAATAATAGTAAACGGTCACAGTAGAAAGTGTAATAATAGAGGCATAGTAGCAGGAGTGACAATAGCAGCAGCAACAATAATATGAAAACTTGCCGATAGAGAAAAATGTTAATGGCGATAACAACTACTACAACACATCAAATAGAAAAGATATGATGAATAACATCGGAGATAAAAATATTCCATTTTCGTTTGTAAACAAGAGAAAGGTTGACATATCTAGAAATAAACGTGCCTTTCTCAAAAATGTAACAAATAAAAGTACATTAACACGCTTATACGTGCGCACGCGCGCACGTATGTTTCGTGTCGATAAATATACCGTTTATTTTTAGCGATTACAATCTTTTAATTCACATCTTGTTTGCCTACCAACAGCTTTGACAATTTTTTTTCTCAACGTTTTTTTTTTTTAATGATATTCTTGAAACGCGATTATATAATCAATCTAAAATAATAAGGACACATCGCTTTTTCAAAACTGGAATTAATAAAAGTACAGAAATATAATGCTAAATGTAAATGCTAATACATGTGCATGCACAAAGTAAAGCATCAAAACGTGAAATAATCTGAAAAAGTATGTCAAATACTTATAATTTACGGATGCTTCTCCTATTTGCACTTTAAGAAATCAATATTAATTCGCTTTTATGCTATATATTGATTCAAGTAAACCTAAGATAAAATTAATTTTTACGAGTAATATGTAAATTCTATTCAAATGTGATGGGCGCAAACATAATTTTGCAAAAATCAATGAAAGCTTCTAACAACACATTTATATTTCATTTCCAATTCAATAAATTATAGAAATTCAAAATTAAAATTGTAAAAATAGTGAAATATTAATTTTCCGTACGAATATCCGCGGAAGACTTGTCAAGTTCTGCCAGTGGCGTTAAATAAATTAATAGAATTGGTAACGCGTGTGTCACGATGTAAATATATTTGAAATCCCTGAAAATAAAATCTTACTACTAAATCACAGCGAAGAAACTCTGTCGTCGATGGGGTACAAAGGAGAGGACGAAGACGCTGTATCGGGAAAAAGGGAAAATTAAGAAGGAGGATGGAAGGAAAAGGATTTATTCAAACAGGTTTTATTTAACTATAATTGCCTTGTCTAAAGGAATGGAGAGCGTATATATTACAAATAAATTAGATATATTAAATAATATTTTATTATCCCGTTTTTGTACCGCACCTTTCTTTATATCGCCACGTAGGACGCTAAACAAAAAAAAAAAAACAAAATTTGTCTGTAATTATCGTGTGTGTGTGTGTTTATCACATAAATAATATATAAAAATAACAACAAATCGCGTGGCCCTTGTCGAAAATCGAAGGAGTTATGCCTATCACATAAGTAATCGTTCAGATTCTAATACACACGGACCTTCGGCCCTTCGCTCATTTTGCAACGCTATTTACAGATGATTTTTATTTTTCATAAAAAATATCAATGCAGCTTTGTGCGCGTGGTCGCCTCGTCGTGTACTCGAAGCGACATATCACTTTTCCGGTTACGCATTTTATTTCAAGACGTCGTTCATCCGACTTGCAATTAACATTTAACCCATCGTCATAAACGAAGACTCTCTACAGACGACTACTTTATCGCGAGTGCATCCCTCAGACGGTGATAGAAAGCTATCCGACATACGTTCGCATTAGAAATCGATTAAATTCGCTTCATCAACGCGATACCGGTTCAAGTAATTCAACTCATTCGTAATTTCTCCGCGTTACTCTTTGCGATAAGTTGATTGATGTTATATACTATACTAATAGATCACATTAAGTCGCAAAGTATAATTGTATGATCGATCGACTTTGTTTCGCACTTTGCACTGCCTGTCTGTTTGCCAGTATTCGAATACGGTGTAACAAATGACGGAGAACCGAGATATTTTTACGTATCAAATTCGTCAACTTACATATTCCGCAGTACGGCGAGAAATAACCTATTTCAATCGCCGCGCCGTCAATTTCAAAATTTCGAATCGCGCCGGATCTTAATCCGTATCGATAACAGCAACATATACGCTTGTGTCGCATTAACATTCGGTACACCCTCTTCATCAAAAAATTCATGACAGAGGTAGAGAGAGAGAGAAAGCGAGGGGGAACAAATGGCGAGCAATCTCATCCCATTCGCGAATGTTGTTGAATCTGGTGTTGCTGTTGTTGTTGTTGTTGCTGCGCAGAGTAATTTCTGTCGATGTGCTCTCTCTGGTCTCTCTGCCATTCGCGGGCCTGCGCTACTTCCTTTCTCTGCTGCTCGTTTTTGTTGTGCTGTCGGTGGTAGATGCTCTTGTGGTTGCGCAGACTGTTTAGACTGGAGTAAACCCGCTTGCAGATGTTACAGATCGGTTCCTTGCTGGGCCTGGTGTGCACGTTCTGTATGTGCCGCTTCAACCGCGTTAGGGAGGTCAGGTTTTTGTTGCACGGCTCGCATCGAAACTCATCGCTCGCGCCGCTGCCGGCCAACAGACCTGGCGGCAGAACCAGACACACAGGGGTTACTACTTTTGTAGGGGTTTTTGGCGCACGGTACGTCGCACAGACGTTGGACAGGTGGACAAGTAGACAAGTTAGACTGGGGCAGAGGAGGATTGAGATAGAGAGAAAGAGAGAGAGAGAGAGAGAGAGAGAGAGAGAGAGAGAGAGAGATAGAGAGAAAGAGAGACAGACAGACAGAGAGAAAGAGAGAGAGAGAGAGAGAGAGAGAGAGAGAGAAAGAGAAAAAGAGAGAGAGAGGATATCATCCCCAATGTATTTCTTTACTTTGCCCTTTCTTTTTTCTTTTCTTTTTTGGGAGAGGGAAGGTTTTCTTTTCTAGCCGCGGCCTCGTCTCTCGCGATCGCACACCACCATTTCACGCTCCTACACCACCGTCACATTTAAGATCACACCACCACAGTTTTCGCAGCTGAGAAGATATATCGTGCGCCCGTATGCTCTCTTTTTTGCCTCTTAGTTTGCATCTTTATTAATCGAGCATACGTTGTACCACCGTCACCCGACAAGCCGTGCCCAAACTCGTTTACGTGTTACTTCTTA